CACTTCAGACCATGGCAAAAAAGTATAAATGGGCTGCATCAGGAAGACTAATAATTATTCAGCATATGATGAGGATTCAGAATTAAGACTGATACAGGCAATTAAAAAGGATGATGAAACTGAGATGATGGGAAATAGGGGGAAAAAGCATCAGCACTCTACATCACTAGTAAAAGAAAGATTGAATTACAGGAGATGTCAGTAAACAGAAAGAACAAAGCTGGATTAATAACAACAACATGGTTGTGATGCTAAAGTAAAGCAAAAGGCAAAATGGGGGGGGAGAAGGGGTGTTATTTTTTGGCTACCTTTTTGGCTCTTTTTGGAAGCCTGAGAACGCTGATTGGAGGCAACATATTTTGAAGCATAAATAAGAGAAGGGTTGGTTTGGGCTTAGGGGTGGGGTGGGGGTTTTCAGGGTTGTTTTTTTTTACCAGTGTGTTTGTAAGTAGATTTATTAGATAAGGAACATTGTAATTTAGGAAGAATTTTAAGCCTATTAGTTGATTGTGCTTATATATTAGTTATAAGGGTATAATATAGTACTTTTAGGTTTAAAATATAGCTTGTTAGAATTTTGATTTGTATTGATTGAAATGACTTAAATTTTTCTTTTTGATTGTTAATTCATGGTGACTCGCGTAGGAAAAGATGGAGCAATATACAATTAGATCTACTAATGTGTGAGGTCTGAATGATAAAGTTAAATTGAAAAGAATTTCTTCCCTTTTGATGAAATTAAAACCGGACGTTGTTATGATTCAGGAAACACATTTAAAATTTAAGGACAATTTTTTAAACACCTTTTGGTATACGCAACAATTTTATGTGCAAGAGTATTATATGGCATAGAAGAGTAGGTCATTCTGCAAATGCTTATAGAAATCAGTTCATTGTGGCAGCTTGAAATGTTTGGGATAAGTACAGATTGCAATTAACTCTGGGGTTTTCACGATTTTAATCACTATTAGATCAGGTATGGTTTTTTCCAGGCCAACAAAATCACTTAAAATCACTAGACTTATGGATCTAACAAAACAGAATCCCTGGAACAAAACAAACCCCTGGAAGAAAAAATTGGTAGATCCCTTACTTGGTACGTATATTACCAAATCTCTTATTTAAGTTCTAGCAACGGATTGTCTAATGTATTAAAATGTCCTTTAATGGACTTCAAGAGATTGCTTAATTCCTGTGAGTCCAATAAAAAAGGCTTAGTTTCTAAATTGTATAAAATGATAAATAATATTGAGTCAACAGGCAGGTTATCATACCAGGAGAAATGGCAGAAAGACTGTAAAATCACTTTAAATGAAGAGATCTGGGGGGAAATATGGGCATATATAGATTATAAATCATCAGTTTTATCAATAAAGCTTCAGACCTTTAAGATTCTTACTAGATGGTATTATACACCTGAAAAGCTTTCTTATCTAAATACTGATATTAGCCCATATTGTTGGAGTAATGTGGATGTATAGGTTCCTATATCGACTGCTGAATGGAGTGTGATATAATAAAAAAATTGGGATATAATTATACAAAAAATAGCTCTAATTAAAGGTCATACTCTTGAGCTGGCACTTGAATCTTTATTTTTAAGTTATAAGATAGACAAAATTTGCCCATATCAACAAAGGGTAACAATCACAATATTACTGACAATAGCCAAAATGACCATAGCCCATTACTGGAAAAGTTCGATAGCTCCTCCACTCTCTTTGTGGCGTAAGAAATTATGGGAAAATTACATAAAGGCCAAGATAACTGAACAGTTGAATTTTAAATCTTTACAGAAGTATAAATCAGATTTTGAGTCTATTTGGTACCCTATATCGAACTGTTTAGAGCAACATGGTGAAATTTTTTTAAATGCTGAATCTCTATAGATTACTTTCAATTTTTAATTTTTACAGTATAATAGAAATAATATAAGCATATGAAACAATATTACTTCTTGATAGTTTTTTAAATTTTGTTGTACATAATTTTAACTGTGTGTAATTATTTCTGCAATAAAAAGATATTTTAAAAAAAACAATTTTATGTGCCGGGCTTATCTAAGGTCCGGGGGGTTGCCATATTGTTTGCTAAGACAATGTCATTTTTGCCTACAGATAGTTTATACAATGTACATGGCAGATACCTGTTTGTTAAAGGGACAATATATTACCTTTGCTACCATCTATGCTCCAAAGGCTTCGGGAATTTTCTCTTCTCAACATAGGGAGATTTTGGAAGCCCCGATTACATCAAAAGAAATTCAGAACAGTATATCTCAAATGAAACCTAATACAGCTCCAGGTCAAGATGGATTTACACCAGAATTTTTTAAACCTTTTCAAACAGCTCAATAATTCCGTTTTAAAACTTGTTTATGTAATAAAATTATGGATTCAGGGAATATGCCTCAGACCTGGAATAATGCCACTATAATTACCATACCAAAAGAAGATAAAGACGAGTCTTCTAGCCTCGTATAGACCTATTTCATTACTTAATTGCGGTTATAAAAAAATTCCTAAGGTACTAGCTAACCATTTGCAAACAATAATTTCTAGTTATATTATCCCAAATCAGACCGGTTTCATCCCTAATAGGTCATTAATGGATAATATCAGATTTCTTTTAAATATAATTCAATATTCACAACTTCATTCTTTAGAATCTGTGTTAATTTCGATTGACCTGGAAAAGGCTTTTGAATTTCCTTTTTTACATGTATTACTGAAATTTATGCAATTTGGCCCAAAATTTAGAAAGGATAGCAGCTTTATATGCATCCCCTAAACCAAGATTACAAATTAATGGTCAAATGAGTGAATATTTTCCGCTAACCAAAGGAACCAGGCAGGGTTGGCCGATATCCCCATTGCTATTCGTATTGGTAATTGAACCAGTGGCTGTATTAATTAGAGATCATCATAATATCTCTGGTATTAAAATTGGAGAAGTAGACAAGATGATTTGATTCTTTATGTTTCACAGTTAAATAGTTCAATTCCAACTTTGATTTCAGTTTTTCAAAATTATCAATCTTTAATAGGATTAAAACTTAATCTCAATAAATCATTTCTAATCCCTATTAATATTTCTAAAAACATCAAAGAACAACTTCTACATCAAATGCCTTTTCTATGGAAAGACTCTCAATGGAGATAACTTGGCATACAAATTCCTACTAAATTGGACCTGAAGCAATTGATTCAAGTTAATTTTGACAAAACTTATAAGGAGGCTAAACGCCAAATGAAACTCCTGCACCCAAAAGGCTTTTCAATGGCAGATAATTATTAAAAGCTTTATATTAACAAAATATTTATTTTTATTTACAGCCTTACACATCCATATTCCTAGGAAAAGTATAGTCAAATGGAAACCCTCATTAAACAATTTTTTTTGGTCATATAAGCCCCCAAGATTCAGTGTAATTTCCTGTCCTACTTCTCAAGGAGGATTGAACTTTCCAAATTTACAAACCTATTATGGGGCATCACTTCTGACATCACTACTTAGAATTATCTTGCTTAATTCCAATGAACAAACCAGCTGGCAACATATTGAGGAAGAATTTTGTGAGAATTGCACTATCCCCAAAAAATTTTGGAACATAGCAAAATGTAGAAACTCTCAAAAAACAATGAATTTTTAAATGTATTCTTTAAATGTAGATTTTCTCTGCTGCCACACACTACTAGATATGCTTGCTATCTTAATCAACCATGGTTCCCTCCAGGATTGGGTGATTCACCCTTTCGAAAATGGTACCAGACAGGATACACTAGATTGGCAGATTTTATCTCAAATGGTCAAGTGATCTCAAAAGTAAAACTAGAGGCTGTAATGGGAGAAAGAATCTCATGTTATGGATACTTTAGGGTTAATTAGGACATGAAATATGCCACTCACACCCTTAGAAACACTCTTAAAACATCAAGGTGTAACTCATAAAGGGTTACTTCTAAGATTTAGAAATTATTTGAGCTTTATGCTCAGTAAGGATACTACAACAACGGAGAAAGAATGGCAAAAGGATTGTGAGGGTAGAATAAAAAAAGAAGATTGGGAAACAGCTTGGAAAAGCCCTAGCCTTAATTCTAAGATTATGACAATTAAATGTAATGTTTTTAAAATTTTAAATAGATGGCATCTTATATTCACATGGATTTCTTGATATCATAATAGTGTGAAAAAAACATGTTGGAAGGGTTGTGGGTTATGCTGAGATTATTTATATTGTTTTTGGAGTTGCCCTATGGTTAAGAAATTCTGGAATCAGGTACTTCCACAAATAGAAATCTCAGGTACAACAATATCTCAACAACCTGAAGTAGTTCTTCTGGAAATAGGCCAGCTGAGTCACTTAGATAAATCTAAACAAACCAATTGTCAATTGCTAAGATAGAAATAGCAAGGAAATGGAGAAAGGCAACAGGCCCTTCTTTAATGGACTGATACAATGGTATATGGACTCATTTTGTTTTGGGAAAATTAGACGAATCCTCGAGAGTGCGGAATTTAGATGCTTATTATAAAAACTTTCAAGCAGTCTGGTTTCTGATCATACAGTTTCTTCAAGAAAAAGAAATTATGTCATCCAATCTTTTCTTTCGTGATATTTAAAGAAGGCCTTTAGAAAATATAAGAGTAGTTGTATAGTTTCTTAGGTAAGTTTGGTTGTAATTATAGTACTGGAATGCTCTTATTTATCGTATTGTTTTTGTTTGATATTTTAATTAAAAATTAATTAAAATAAATGGAATTTAAGTGAATATTTATTGGTTTGGTAATAATCCTGAGTGATTATATGCTAATTCACAAAAGGTGTACTCTGTTCCATGGTGGTTACACTTGGGAAAGCAGCAAATAGATCCTAGAACTGTAGGGAGTAGCAGATAATAATAATAATAATAATAATAATAATAATTTAATCAGTCAGTTTTAGTTTAAAATATGTTGTCAGTGTATTGATCTATTATGTTGTCATTTTGTCTACTTAGATCTGCCTACCGTGGAAGAACTGATGAAGCCTCTTAGAGCAGATTCGTCTTTTGCCAGAGGCTATGACCTAGAACCTGCAAGGTATTTATTTTGGAAAATATGTGTTATAGCAAGTATATCTTAGCCAATGAATCTCTTTGCTTGATTTGTTTTTGTTCAGCTGATTTCCTTACACAAACACATAGCCAAAGAATTTGGAAATTATCCTTCAGTTTGTGGTATTGTTTTGCAAATTGGTTAGATCTTAAAATCTAATTCTGCAGTTAGTCTTCCATTGCCAGCATCTGTTTATTGGCTAGAGATCTTTATCTCAAAACTGCTCTTAAAAAATGGAGTCCAACAGTCCATTCCTATGTATTGCTTCTCCTCGATAGCAACTGCAAAGGCTGTGCACTGTTTTCATTGTGAGAGGGCATCTGTTTGTAGCATGAACTGACTTAGTAGCAGCCCCAAATGTGGCATTGATTCAGAAGAGGGTAACAACAATACATACAGTAAGGATCTTTTGGTGCAAATGGGGAACAGCTGGCTGACTCAATTCTACTTGCTAAGTATCAGGAGTTACTTTAGCTGCTGAAGCACAAATGGTCATCTCTCATCTTTCTGTTTAAAGATCATACTCCATAATCAGGCTATACACATATGAAACTGCATTATAACAAGATATGGCCAACCAACTGCCAGCACAATGTATGCAGATTATCTCTGCATTTCCCTTGATCTAGAAGTTCCTTTTGGCCCTGGAAAGATGATGCCTAGAGTTGCAGGACTCCTGTGCATAAAAAGCCACATGCAGGGCAGCAGTGAGAAGGTGCAGTTTCTACTTGTTGAAAGGGGAGGGAACTATTTCTTTTAAATCCTCCACACACACTTTGCTCCCCACCTGTGCCTTTTTTGCACTTCCAGGCATCTTTCTGGTGGCCAAAAAGAAATGCAGGCAGAAGGGGAACATGGGAGGAAACTTTGGCTAGTGCTACCATGGGCAGTTAGTTAACTACATTTTGTTGGCCCAGCTCTATTTTGATTGGCAACCATTCTCCAAAGCCCTAGGCAGAGAATGAGTTTCCCAACATCTACCTTGTCCTTTAAGGAGATGCCAGGATTTGACCCTGGGGTCCTTCTTCATGCATAGCACATGATGTACTACTAGCGGGCCATAGCCCCTCCTGTAAGTATATGCTGTTTTTTTCTATACAATTCTTATCAATGATGTTGTATCTTGCCTTTTACTTTTGCAGTTCTGTGAATATGGTACATAGTGTGGATGAACTAGTGTCCCATTTACCTTTGAAAGAGCATCAGAATGATTCCTCTCTGGAAAAGCAAAACATTAGCTGTCCATTGGGGCAACATAATGTACAAGGGGTTGTTTCTGTTCAGACACGTGAAACAGAAGGTAGTTTTCATCATGGGGCTAGTAAAGACAATCAAGCTGAAAAGATTAAACACGATCCCTTAGAACAAAATGTTTCACAGAACTCTTCAGTTGTGCATCAAGACATCAAAACTATCCAGGTAAACTATTTCTAGACATATTTTTCTTCAATTTAAACCATAAAAATTAAATTATACATAAAGCTTAACTTTACATACAAAATATACAAGCAGGAGGCACTTGTAGTTGCAGATATCTTTCTTGCCATCCCACCTGCCCCACTCTACTAGTAAAAGAGGAAGGTGGGTGTGAGATCTCCCCTCTCTTGAGTGTGGTGCCCTGTGGCATTTGTCCAAAGGTGTCTCCCAACCTTTAGCATTGGCTTTTCAGGGATTATAGGGGACGCAAGACGAACATGTAGAAAATCCACACTGGGTTGTACCTTTATCTACAGATTTCTAGTATATGGTTAATTGGCCATAAAAGCTTAATTGCTAGAGTGATAAGATAACCCCGAGAAAGAATGAATGGGCTTGAACCTGTTGAATCACAAACAGAGCTCCATTCATGGAACATTGTTTTTGCCCCTCATCCATCTTTCTGCAGTGCCCTACAACCTCCAAAAACTTCTCCTGAGGGTCAGTGGACCGATGGGAAAAGCACTGAATGTAGTGGGGGGCAGCATCACCTGCAGCAGAAACTGGTGAAAATTGTCATCCTGTCACAGAAACAGAACCTCCCATCGATTTGTGCCAGGGCAAATTTGGAGCAAAGCCGTTTTTCCTCAGTCAGTCTAATGTGTAAAGCGCAAACTACTTTATAGCCTTTACATATGTATATAGTCCTTGCCTGTCAAGCAATAATAAAAGAAGTTTAGAGGGATCTCCAATAATTGCCCATCTTGTTATTTTCTGTCTGATACAAACATAAAACTTTGTTTTATACAAACTCACTCCACAGGTACATTCACTAAATAAAGAGGATCTGGAATCTGTGATAAATAAACAGGTAATGCACAAAAATATGAAAACCACAGATGCTGTGCATAAAAAGAAGTCTCTGAGTGGACCCTATAGCTTTGTTAGGAGTTCTGGCTATGGCAGATCCAGTTCTCCATTAAAGCATTCTACCACAGTTAATGAAAAGAAGGTATTAAATGAAGGCATCAGAAAGCCAGCTTTGAAAGCCAAATCTCCTGCAAGGTCAAAAGGTAATCGATGTTATGTGTTTTAATGCAACTTCCTATGTTACAATGGAAGAAGAATGCTAAGTGTAGGATTTTTCAATATTACTTTATTGCTTATTGCTCCTTGCAACAGAATAGGTGTATTTAGAAACAAAACCAAGCTTTTTTTATTTCAAAACCTCATTTTGCTATAGATGTGAATGTGGTTGCTTAATACATCTACCAGAGCTCAACACAGAAGTGGGATTCAAAAGAGCAGTTTCAGGCTCTTCAGAGCAGTACCACTATTTAAATCATTCATTTGTTTGTCCACGTGTATTTGGTAAACTACACAAGACTGCAGAGAAATCTCTTGCAAGGTCTTGACTGAGGTTCAAAGGGAAGGCCACTGTGGCCTGGAAATCCTTGTAGGGAAATGTTGATAGAGTTCGACTTTGATCTGAGAGATCTTGGTCCAAGTGAAGCAGGGGAGGTGTCATGCTAGGTGAGAAATGTCTTGTTTGTCTGTTGTTGTTTTTCCTGACTTCCCCCCTGAATAATTTTTGTGGCTAATCTCAAACTGTTTTTTGAATTTGGGGTAGTTTAAAGAACAGTTTGGTGGTTTGTGGAAGGGAAAAGGGCTGCATCTGACAGAGAAATGACCCTTTGGTTCACAGGCATAATTTGTAGCTGAGAAGTAAAAGCCTTTTGATTATTGGTGACCTAGCATCATCATTGTACATTGGTCTTGTTGGTGTAACAAGCAAGAAGACTAGTCCATATCACAAAGATCTTATAATCTAAATTAAAGCTGGAGTCAGGGGAGGGGGTGACAAAGGGAGGGGAGTGTAAAAGGTGGTAAAAATGCACAAATACACTCTTTTGTATACTTAGCTGGGAGTAAGCCCCTGTATGGGATAATGCAGAGTTGGAGTAATGAAACTCATGAGACATAATGAAAGGAGATAATTTTTTTGATTGGAAAGGGCCCAGCAAGCTACATGTGCAAGTGGAGAACTTACCGGGGGTGTGTGTCATATTTCCAAATGTTCGTCGTCGTGGTCTCTGTGCAGTTCCCCACTGTGCAGTCCCATAGGTTGGGCACCTGCGCACGACCTCGACCGGAGAAACTTCTAGAGCTTTGCCGCAGAAAGCTTTTGGCGGGCTCTCTTCCTGCCCTGGGGAGCAGGCACATACTGCGCATGCCTGGAGCAGGGGATAGAGCCGCCTCCCACTGAGTTCGTCTTCGACTGCCTGTATGTTCACACCTCGTTTCTATTGCTCTCTGTATTTGCCTCAGCTAAGTATATTTCTTCGTCTTCCTTCTTCGGTCTTTGTTTCTTTTCATTCTTCTTTCCTCACTACAAGAACGAAAGTGAAGAAAGACAGGTTTATTCTTTTTATTTATAATTTCTTCGTCTTCCTTCTTCGGTCTTTGTTTCTTTTCATTCTTCTTTCCTCACTACAAGAACGAAAGTGAAGAAAGACAGGTTTATTCTTTTTATTTA